TCTCGGAAATCATAAATTCACCGACTGTCTTTCTAAGTCAACGTGCCGTGTATGTCAACAGCGACATCACACTTTACTTCATTCAAATACTACTTCCATCATTCAAAATATTCCTAACCAACCTACTACCAGCTCTACAGTTCTTACTACAAATTTATCTTACACTCCGTCGACAGTCTTACTTTCTACTGTCATAGTTGCCGTTTGCAATTCTGAGAATATATTTGTTCCTTGTAGGGCCTTAATCGATAGTGCGAGTCAGTCTTCATTCATTACGAATAAATGTCTACAAAAGCTTAATCTTCCGATGACGTTTAAATCCATTTCTATTCAGGGTGTTAATGACATGTCTTCTGCAACTTCTCCTGGTTCGGCTCAAATTTGCCTTTGTCCTGTTCTATCTTCAGAACCCATTCTTCACACTGAAGTTACAGTTCTACCTTCTATTTGTAATAAGTTGCCATCTACTCAAATAATGACCAAACGGTTTAAACATCTTAAAAATCTCTCCTTGGCTGACCCTAACTACGCTGTTCCTGGAGATGTTGATTTGTTACTTGGTACTGAACTTTTTCCACTAATTCTTCGCGAAGGGCAGAAAATTGGACCCCCTGGACAGCCCAGTGCAATAAATACTATCTTTGGTTGGATGTTATGTGGAAGGATTCAATGCTCTGATTCAAATTCTACCGTTCATTCGTATTTTGTAAATGAAACTTTAGAAAAAATTCTGGGAACTGGAAAAGGTTCCAGAAAAATCTCATGTATCCCCTGAGGATATTTTGTGTGAAAACATATTTTCAGAAACTGTATCGCGTCTACCTACTGGCAGATATGTTGTAGCTCTACCATTTCGTGAGCTTCCTATTTCCTTAGGTGATTCTTATACATTTGCGTTACAGCGTTTATTTGCTTTGGAACGTCGTCTTTCGAAAAATCCTGGTCTCCGTGAACAATATTGTAGCTTTCTTCAAGATTATCTTGATACTGGTCATATGTACCGTCTTCCATTTCAAAATTCATATTTTATTCCTCACCATTGTGTAAAAAAATTAGATAGTTCTACTACTCCTATTCGAGTTGTCTTTAATGCTTCTGCCAAAACTTCCAATGGCGATTCATTAAATGATAAACTCTTAGTTGGGCCAAACTCCAACAAGATATATCTTCTATATTATTACGTTTTAGACTTCATTCAATTGTCTTTACGGCCGATATCAAACAAATGTATAGGCAGATTTTAATAAAAGAAGATCACCAAGCTTATCAGCAAATTCTTTGGCGTTTCAATACTTCTGATCCCGTCGAAATCTTTCGACTAAAAACTGAAACTTATGGAGTTACCTCTGCACCTTTCTTAGCTATTCGTACCCTTCAACAGCTTGCAAATGATGAAAGGGAAAATTACCCATTAGGGTCCAGAATTCTTTCCACTGATATCTATGTGGATGATTTAGTGTCTGGTTGTGCTTCACTTTCAGAAGCCTTTAATATACAAGAAGAACTTCTATCTCTTCTCATTTCTGGAGGGTTTGAGTTAAGGAAATGGTCTTCTAATTGTTCTGCCTTGATAGACAAACTTCCTGCTTCTTTATGTCAAAATTCTTCTCAAAGTTTTGATTCTAACGATACTACTATTAAGGTGCTTGGCTTACAATGGAATTCTGTCAATGACTATTTTACATATACTGTTAAGGATATTAAGACTTCTTATACAAAAAGATCCATTTTAAGTGAGATTGCGAGAATCTTTGATCCCCTTGGTCTACTCAGTCCAGTTACTTTGTTTGCTAAACATCTAATGCAACAACTTTGGCTTCTTGGTATCGATTATGATAGTACTCCTCCTGATAGTATTTGTTCAATTTGGTCTAGATATAAAGTTGAACTGCCCTGCCTTAGTAACCTGCAATTGCCCAGACACATTTTATTTTCTGATAGCACTTATTGTGAATTACATGGATTCTCTGATGCCAGTGAAATTGGTATGGAATGTGCTATTTATCTTCGCAGCATCAACTCTTCTGGGGAGGTAAAAACATCCTTGATATGTGGAAAATCCCGTGTAACTCCTTTAAGTAAAATATCCATTCCCAGGGCAGAATTATGTGCAGCGCTTTTGTTGGCAAATCTAATGGAATTTGTACTAAGCACATTTAAAGCCATCCTTACACCCAATAAAATATTTGCCTGGACAGATTCTACGGTCGCTCTTGCTTGGATTAAATCTTCCCCTCATCTCTGGAAAACGTTCATAAGTAATAGAGTATCTCTAATTCAAGAAGAGATTTCTCCACAATTCTGGCGTCACATTCCAGGTTCTCAAAATCCCGCTGATTGTGCGTCACGTGGATTATTTCCTAAGGAACTTCTGTCACATTCCTTATGGTAGGCGGGACCGCCTTGGTTACAGTTATCGTGTGACAATTGGCCAAATCTACTTTCTGAACCTTTATCTGACACTGAGCTTGAACGTAAAGTTCAATGTTATGTTGCTGTCGAAAGCCCCCATTTTATGAAGCAGCTTTTTTCTAAATTCTCTTCACTTCGTAAAATCCAAGGAATTATTGCTTACATGCTCAGATTCAAAACTAATCTCAAACCCAAACGTGATAGACAACTTGGTCCTCTATGTGAGGCAGAATTATATTATTCACTAGTTATCTTCTCAAGATATGTTCAATCTGTGGTTTTCTCACAAGATATCTGTTCCTTAAAATCACATAAACCTTGCTCCAAACCATTGCGTAAGCTCTCTCCTTTCTTTGATTCAGATGGTGTTCTCAGGGTGGGCGGACGTTTGCGTCATTCCCAGTTGGAATTCGATAGTAAACATCCAATCTTACTTCCTAGGGACCATGAGCTTACTAAGCTTATTATTAATCACTTTCATCAGAAAAATCTTCATCCAGGCCCTTCTACATTAAAATTCTTAATCAGCCAACAGTTTTGGATTCTTTCGGCTAGACGAGCCATTAATCATTGTCTTTCTAAATGTTATAAGTGTTTTAAAGTAAATCCAAAACCATCCAGTCATTTTATGGGTGATTTACCGAGTGTTCGTGTCTCCCAAATCAAGCCATTTTCTTGCAGTGGGGTTGATTTCGCTGGACCTTTCACCATTAAATTAGGTAAACATCGTGGGGCTAAAACATACAAAGCTTATTATGTTTGTTCATTTGTATGGCTACCAAAGCTCTTCATTTGGAATTAGTCTCGGATTTAACTTCAGAGGCCTTTATTGCTGCTTTTCGCCGCTTTGTAGCTCGACGTGGTAGAGTTGCACATCTTTTCAGCGATTGTGGAACAAATTTCGTGGGCGCAAACAAGATCCTACGTACTTTTGCTGAAGGAGTTTCAGAAACTCTTTCAATTACTTGGCATTTTAATCCTCCTTCCAGTCCCCATATGGGTGGCATCTGGGAAAGCGGTGTAAAGTTTGTGAAAGGACATTTGTTGCGAGTAGTAGGCCAGCAAATTCTTACATATGAAGAACTAAATACTCTTTTAGTTCAAATTGAATCAATTTTAAATTCAAGACCCTTGTATGCCCTTAGCAAAGATCCAAATGATTTATCCGTGTTAACTCCCAATCATTTCTTAACTCTTGAACCTGTGACCGCTCCTCCTGATGAGAGTTATGAGAATATAAATATTAACCGATTAAATCGTTGGCAGCTGATTCAACAGTTTCAACAATCCATCTGGCGTCGTTGGCACATAGAATATTTGCATTCTTTGAAGCAACGCCATAAATGGTTTAACAAGACCACAAATTTGGAGGTTGGCTCCTTGGTTGTGCTTAAAACAGACAATATTCCCCCGTATCAGTGGCCTTTAGGACGAATTTTGGCTTTGCATCCTGGTGCGGATAACGTCGCTCGAGTTGCTACTGTACGTACATCTCAGGGTGTTTTTAAAAGGCCTGTGGTCAAGTTATGTGTTCTTCCACATAACGATTAAAGATTTGGAAAAATTAATTCCAGTCTATCTACTTTTTTGTTTGTTTTTTTTTTAAATAGAATTATTTATTTTTTCTTTCAATTTAAGTAATATAAAATTACATTTTTTTTTTGTTTCTTTGAAATTTATAATTTCAGGTGAGCGGTATTTACACACAAGTGTAAATGATCTGGCAACACTGCCTATTTTAATTTGGGGAATTTTATGTTAAAATTTATAAAGTAGTCTAGCGATTGAATTCAAGATTAACGGTCGTTCTTACAAGATTATATATATCAATCAAGCTTTTCCAAAAAGTGCATGTTAAGTAAAATCACAAGTAACATCCTGGGGCATTGGGCATCTTCACCACATCCGACGTATCCAGTCTACTACGATCACACCAAGGTAGGTGCTCTTTTGTTTCTGGGGTTAACTTAAGCATTTTATAAAACATGCATCGCGTCATGGTTAAACTTTCTGTAACCAGATAGTATTAGTTTTCTTATATAATATTAAATTTTTATAAATATAATATCAAAATTTTTAAATTTTGTTTTTGTAAGTAATATTTAAATACAGATTAATTTTTCTGAAAATTTGCAGATCTATTCTTAACACATGTGCAGACTATTGTACCGTAATAAGTGTTGGAAAGATAATTTTATATTGAAAAAATACGGCCATATCGGAAGTTAAAGGTTTATTCTGATTTTAGTTTTGATTAACCAACCAGTAAAATGTAAAATGGCATTTACCAACAATTAATGCAACTTTCGGTTAGATAATGCATTACACATGGCTTTGACGGCACGTTGGCAGAAGAAACAATAAACCGAAAACCATGGTTGGTTGAACTGGTAACACTGTTGAAAATTTTAAGAAATGGCGTTCCATAACTAACTAGTTGTAACGAAACAACAAACCCTAATAAAGACGAGCAACAGAATACTCCATTAGCATCCAACAAGCCAGCAGTTGGTCATAAACAGGTGGTTTATATTTGAAAATAGTCGATTATTTTTGTGAACGCTATATTTTAAATTACTTTTACTCACTAATTTATATCCCTCCGGCTGCTGTATGGCAGGAAATTTTTGAAAATAATCTGATATGTTGCCTCCACTTTCAATGGTTTTAAGTCTAACTGTTGCAGTATCACGCCAGTTTTGTAGTACTAATTGCCACGGTTGGACACTATTTTGGAGCCAAGTAAGTTTTTCTTCTACAACAGGGTCAGCTAAAAATGATTATACAGCCTGTTTAATAAAAGGCATTGCGTATGAATTATGAATATGATAAAAATATCTAGTTTTTTCTCAAAAACTAAAATTAAATATGCTAGTGAAAAAAGTATATAAACCACGGTTGAAAAGACCATTATAGCCCTCACGCCTTGTGCCTCTCGTCCGGCTCTACAATCTTGGCACTCGAGCTATAGTGATAGTTTTATCAACCTCGGTTTATAATGTCTCATTCATCAATTATAATTATCGTTATAGAAAAAAATCAGTGTAATAATATATGAGCGCAAGTAACAAAGTATCATAATTATTACTTCTCAGCACTGACGATGTTACTTTCTGCTCGGATTACACAGATATTTTTTATAACAGAGCATATCCGCACCGATTCAGGCAGTGCTGACGGCATAAGTTACAGATTCGGCTGGTTATTTTTTATGTATAGTGCTTCGATGTTTGAGAAAAATCACCAAGGGATTTTATTCAAAGATGTTTTATTTTGAAAATATGATTTTTTTTTAAATTTTTTTCAAAATTTTCAATTTTTTTCAAAAATTTGGCATTGACGTAATAACTCAAAAACTATTTAACTTATCTTAGCAAAATAATTTTTATTTTTTTTTCACAATTTCAGGATCAACTATTTATTAGGTGTATCCAAGCTTTTAGATGCCCCATTCAAGCTGCTAGGTGCCCCACCCAAGCTGCTAGATGCCCAACTCAAGCTTTTAAAGTTAAAATATTATCTGAAATTAAATTTAAAATAAAAAAATATTGTTTTTAATGTGCCGTAATAATGTAATCTAATGACTATGTAATTTGCTTCGAATGGTAGGTACAATAGTTTTACTTATATTTTCTGGCAATGTTAGTTTTATTTAAATCCAAAAAAAAATTCATATAGTACTTAGTTTTCTTTATATTTTTTGCATTTAACCACAGTAGACTTATTACGTCACCTTATTTATTATGAGTATTTTTTCCAGGCCTACTTTTAATAAAATAGAAACAGTGGTTAAAATTCCGTTTTCTGGCTATATTATTAGTTATAAAAAAGGAATAACAAAAAGGGCCATTTTATGATTTTTTAAATTAAAAGTACACCTAATAAATAGTTGATCCTGAAATTTTAAAAAATAAAAAATGGAGGTTTTGAGAAAAAGCGCTTTAAATTATTTGTCGGCCATCTTAAAAAAACAAAAAAAACTATGGAAACTAATTTGATCTAATTCTATAGTAAAAATATGCTTTTTTAATGGTTAAAATCAGGTTTTTAAGTTTTTAAATAGTCTTTGAGTTATTACATGACAATATCAAATTTTTGAAAAAACTGAAAATTTTGAAAAAAATTTAAAAAAATCATATCTTCAAAACGAAACATTTTTGGATAAAGTCCCTTGCTGATTTTTCTTAGACAACACATAAAAAATAACCAGTCGAATCTATGACTCATGCCGTCAGCGCTGCCTGAATCGGCGAATATGGTCAACATTTTTTTTTATTGTGTACTTACTATCAGCATCAGGACGAACTGGCACCGGTGACGAAGTTCGAGAAGTTGATGTTGAAGATGATCTTCTTCCCTTAATTATGCCCCCTTGACGAAGCTTTCTTCTTCTTGTTATGTATGTTTCATACAATTTTCCACTTGCATTCTTCTTGAATTGAAAATTGGATGCTGCTAGATAGGCAGAAAAGTACACCGCAGGACTTTCCTTTTTAAATATGTTTGTAACATTTAAAGATAAACTGTAAAATTCTGGACTAGTTATTGTTTTACTTGGCTCCTGCTCCAGTAAATTATGAATAATTAATTGGCACAATCGTTTTCTACTATTTTGTTGAAGTAAACCATCTCTAGCTTGGCCTTCTTTTAAGATTGCTCGACCGTCTAAACAATTTTGCAAAATTGCTAATACCTATAACAAAATGTTCTTATTAGTCATTTAATTTGTTTAATGACAATTATCAATTACCGGATTTATCACTTCGCTTCTGGCTTCAGGTTCTTTTCTGGTTGTTGCAGGCTCAACCACACAGATTTCTTCGTTTTCTGTTGTGGGAATAGCGTCTATTGTACCAGTAGACTGGCCAGAATCTAGATTTAAGAAAGTGGGACTCACAGATGCTTGTCCAAAACTACTTTCAGCAACAGCATTTCCAATTCTAAGACTTGTTTCGTCGCGATCATGCAAAAATGTATCAAGGTCAAACGATGCATCCAGATTAGACTAAAATATCAATTAAATAAAATTCGAACCCAAGTTAAATACATTATGAATGTGAAGTAAGGACTAACTATAGTGAAACTAATTATTAATAAACCTAGAGCTCACCTACAAGTTACCACCTATCCCAATTAGGTGCTATCAAATTTTTGGTATATAACAGTGGCGGCCGGTGGATTTTTTGTATACCGATATCTCAGTTAAAAGACATGGGACCCACACCAAACTTATAGGAGTTTATAAGGGCATTGAATAAACAAGTTTTGCGCAAGCATAATTTAAATTGAAGTTAGTTTTTCAGTCCGCCTACCCTGCCTCCTGCCCCCCTAATTCAGATTATTCAAATTAAAGTGGTGCAATTCATAATTCACTAAAGTTTATCGACAAATTTCAAAAATTTATTTAAAAAAATCCAAATATTACATATTTTATACCATTTTAATTTTTTATTATTTTTATAACTTAAATTTAAAAAAATTAAAAATGGTATAAAATCTGTAATATTTGGATTTTTTAAATAAATTTTGAAATTTTTCGATAAACTTTAGTGATTTATGAATTGCACCAATTTAATTTGAATAATATGAATTAGGGGGGCAGGGGGCAGGGTAGGCGAACTGAAAAACTAACTTTTTTTCGCAAACTTCAATTTAAATTCAGCAATATTATTTAGTTTAAAAGTAAATTTATGTTCTATGGGGCCATAGTATTATTCCATCAAGGAGCAGAAACATAAAATTAAGTACTTTTTAGCAAAATCTAGGGGTAGGTGTTTATTTTAGGCGTAATAATTTATAAAACTTATAAAGCAAGAGAGCTCTACTGAAAAAAGATTAAGAATTTAATCCCGTAGAAATTTGAGGTGGCGAATTACTGTCAGTGTCAATTAATTAGCTTAAACTAACTGCCGTGTCTTTTTAAGTCACATTGTCAAGAATGACTTGTTAAAAACATAACGATGTTATAAATAAATAATTACTTTTGATATCAAAAATATTTCAAAAAGTTGTCACTTTTGACACGATCGTAGAAAACAGTATGTATCTAATTTTATAAACAGATGTAATAGGCAATGTAACATTTTTGAAAAAATAATACCTAATTTTTGTAGTCATTTTACTAAAAAAATCAGTTAAAGAATAAAAGTAACTAACATTTTGGATTTCAGATGCCTTATTCATATCTTTCACCCATTCTTTCCAATTAGCTTTAAACTTTGCCCTGTGGCCTACAACTGGAATTAACTGTCTAATACAATCTTCATCCAACTGCTTTAGTGCCAGAAAATCTACACTATTATCTACAAAAAAGAAAGTTGTTTTAGTTTAGAGTGAAGTCATGCATCACGCTTTCGGCAAGGTTGCACGTAAGAAAATTAAAGAAAGGCGATGAATCTTCGATTGGATCAGAGTATCGTAGGTACTTGTACATACAGATTATTTTTAAAACTATTTGTCCATTATAAATTGTACTTTGTACTTACCAGCAAATGTAGAGACATATATCCCCATATCCCATTGTTCGAGCAATTGCTTAGTGTAGTCATCCATCGTGTGTCGTCACGGCACTCACGAAACACGAACCAAAGATAATATTATTATTAGTATTATCTTTGACACGAACCACGATTCAAATTTCCAATGGAATCTGCCGATGTCCGATATCCACTCCTTCCACTCAAAGATAATACCCCACTTTGTTCGCCACTGCCCTCTAACAGCACAATACCTTGAGCAGAAATTGCAACTTGTGTGATCTTTGCTTCCACTTTCGATTTTGGCCGTTGGCGTTTGCGTGCGCAATCAGATCCCTATCTGTGATGGAACGAAACTAAGCCACATCTCCGCGGGCTGCCAAGGCCTAGCTAAAGCTAAATAGTTACGTATAGATGGAACAACAAGATCATTGCTCTGCATACGTACGTATGATACAACATTTTAACATTTACGTGTCAACAATGAATAACGTTGTTTCATATGTATAAAAGTTAATGTACCATGAAGATAAAGCTGTGGATTCCTTATAAAATCATTGTATATTTTACGTACTTACGGTTCTATCTCATTATTTTTAAAGATGTTTCCACAGGAGCACTAAAATTACGGGTCTTTCATATGTACTTTAAATATGGTTTGACAGTGTGACAGCCGTACGTTGGATCGGTAATGCATTAACAGAATATAACATAATATAACGTTACTGCATATGTACGGGTATATGAAGTCTACTTAAAAAAGATGTTGTACCATTTTACTGTTAATACTACTTTGTCATTATTAAACATTTTGCAGCATATAAACAGGAGTATGTGTATTTACAAAATAAAGGAAGTTTCATCTAAATTACGCTAGATACGTACGTATTCTGTATAGAATCGTAATATCATTATGGTACGGACAGTACAAGTCTTACTTTTCTCTCCGTGCATACTTATATACCTAGGTTTAAAATAATAAAATGAATACATTCATAGCAAGTAGGTAAAATAATTACTATGCATTATTAGGTTCCCTTTCGTTAATATGGCGCCCATTCACAAAAAAACCGAAGGCAGACATTGTTTACATTGTTATATCAATATAAAGGTACTTACCTTGAAAATGGTTAATCAGATTTTCCATACCCCACTTAATTAACAGTTCTTCCCTTTTTCAGCACTCTGATGTTTTGCTAGCAGTAAAGGCAGTGATAATTATTATTAATCGTTTATTTGACACACACGTGTACACACACGTGTACACAACAAACAAAATGAACCGGCCGGCTTGCTACGCTGTTTGCAAACCTTACTATTTTTGAAACAATTATAGGCCGCATTGGAATAAATTAAGTTATTATTCCCTTGATAGTTTTAGCTATTAAATGAACGACAGCATAATGTTTTAAGTATAGTTTATATTCTAATAATGTTAATTTTTATTCATGAGAAAATAAATCTGTTTCCTGCAAGATATTTTTAAGGTTTAAAATAATTCTAAGAATCAATTCGTTCAAATAATAATAATAATAATCTTTATTAGTGTTTTTAAAAGGAAGTATACAAGAAAGAAGAAATTACATTTAAAATAGATTTAAAAAGTGTGTACAATACAAAAAAGTGTATATTAAAAATAAATAACATTTATATGGATACAAAATTTACAGTAACTAGATAAAAAGAAAAAAACAACTATATTGATTTAATTTAGGAGGTAGCACTATATCACAGCATTTAAATACTCTTCAAAAGAGTAAGAAGTCTCTTTATGCAACATTTAAAAGCATTTCCGTTCATTTGCCTGATGTGTTCAGGAAGCTTATTATAAAAGGCCTGTGAGTAGTACGATGTTGAGGTTTTTGATTTTGCTAGCCTAAGTGAATTTATTCGTAGGTCGGTTTTTCCCCTTGTGTTATGGTTATGGATGTTCATCCCCGAATTATATAAAGGTAGATTGTTTTTTGTAAACAAGATACATTCGTATATATACCTTGAAGGTACTGTCATTATATTTAGGATACTGAATTGGTGCTTTACATCATCCCTAAATTTAAGCTTTGAAATAATTCTTATTGCCCTTCTTTGTAAGAGGAAAATACGTTTTGCATGCGCCGACTGACCCCATACAAATATACCGTATACACATACACTTTGGAAAAGTGCATGATAGGCCGTAATTAAAACGTTTGTATCTACTGCAATTACCAATTTTTTCAACACAAAAATTGCCCTACTCAATTTATCTGAGATTACATTTACATGGTTTTCAAACTTTAATGTTGGATCTAGATGTATTCCTAAGAAATTGACATTTCTGGGATAATCCTCATTATCATATTTTCTTAAGGAGAATATAATATTTATTGTCTTGGTTTTATTGAGACTTAAGCGCATTGAGGAAAACCACTCTTCAATACTGGAGATAGAGGCACTTATGCAGGCCTCAAGCTGACTTTGGTCATTATGTATATTAATAAGAGTTGTGTCATCTGCATATAAAACTAGCTTACCAGTTGGCAAAGCTGTCCTTATGTCATTTATGTAGATAATAAATAGTAGAGGCCCCAAAATAGATCCCTGAGGAACTCCATAACGATTTGCCTTCACTTCAGAAAACTCTCCACCATAGAAAGTTACCTGCCTCCTATTGGTGAGGTAGCTGGACATCAATTTTAGACCCACATCACTCACCCCATAATATTTTAGTTTTTCAATTAAAATTTCATGCGAGACACAGTCGAAGGCCTTGGAGAGATCACAGAATGTAGAGCCTACATGCATGCCCTCCTCAAAACCCTCCACCACTGCCTCACAGAGTTCTGTAACTGCTAGAACAGTAGATTTATTTGTTCGAAATCCAAATTGATGAGTGCTAAATAACTGGTTATATTCAAAATATTCATAGAGTTGACATTTAAGCAATGATTCAAAAATTTTAGATAATATTGGGATGAGTGCTATGGGCTGTAATTGCCTATCTCCTTAGTGCAACCTTTTTTATAAACTGGTATCACTTTGGAAATTTTAAAACAGTCAGGATACACTCCCTCTTTTATACATTGGTTAAAAAGTTTTGTTAGTGGAGTTATGATAACATCTATAACCGATTTTATTAATTTTATATTAAGTTCGTATATGTCCTGACTGCTTTTGTTTTTCAAGTTGTTTACCGCATCTCTAACCTCTATCATGGAGAATTATCTAAAGTGAAAACTCAGTAGAGGAGGGACCCTTATGTTTTTAAGAAAATCCTCAAAATGAACTCTTGGAGCCTCTAGTTCATCTATTATATTTGTGGGAACCTCTACAAAGAAATTATTAAAACTATCTGCATGAATACCTGTATCTCCAGCAGTGAATAAACACCCTTTCTGTTTGAGTTAATAATATTCCATGCCGCTTTTATTTTGTTACTTGAATTTTCTATATATTTGGAATTTGCTTTAAATTTTGCTTGAGTAATAGCTTTTTTGTATTTGATTTTATATTTTTTGAGTTGATCAGACAAATTTTGTGTTTTAAAATTGGAGTACAGCTCATTTAGTAGTTTTAGTTGTTCCCGCATATTTTTAATATCCTTACTAAACCATGAAATTTTGTTTTTGCTTCCTGAAACACAACGCTTTTTAATGACTGGGAAAGCCAGATTTCTGTAACATAAAACTGTATTTAAAAAATAGTTAAACTTATCATCTATACCCATTTTAGAGTTTAAAAAAGCCCATCCCTCATTTGCAGCATTTGATACATATTAAATGTGCCTATATAGGAAATTGGTCCAACACAAGTATACTCAGTCTTATCAATATTTTTAGTTAACAATTTAATTATGTCTATTGAAACATTTATAGCACAATGATCGGACAAAGCCGGATTAAAAACATTGGACTCACAATTTAAAATATCACTAAAATTTAAAAATATATTGTCTATACAGGAGTTAAAACGAGTATTTCCAAAGATCATTTGTTTAAAACCATATGATTTTATGACATCCAAAAAATCATTTGATTTAGAGTATTAAAATCCCCATTTATAACTACTTTTTGTTAAAATTAAATATTTTATCACAGAGCAGATTCACAATTGATAAAAGAATATTAAAATCACCTTTTGGTGGTCTGTATACAGTTATAATAATAAAACCTAACTTTTAAATTTCAATTGCACTAATTTCACAATCCATTTCGGCACTTAAATTTACCAACTCAATATTTTCACTAAAGCTAATTTCGTTCTTGACCAGGATCATGGTTCCTCCATGTCCATGAAGAGATCTTGCAAAAGATGATGCTATTTTGTATCCATGAAGAGTGAATGAACTTATTTCTATTTTATTTAAAAAATGTTCTGACAAACAGATAATATCGTATTGATCTCTATCCATTAGAAATGCTTCTACTTCATTTAATTTATTTCTGATCGAACATATGTTTACGTGGAATATATTTAAAAAACTTTTACTTGACAGCTTCTCTTGGTTTTCTTGCAAGAAAAAACCGATTTATTTTAGTACCTTTAGGCCAAATGTTAGGATCATTTATCTTTGGTGCATTTTGTTCGTCCACTGCAACTTTGAATGATGAGTAATACTCTGGGTGTTGGGATTTTAATTTTTCACATAGTACCTCTGGACACATAGGCTTTATATATTGCACTATATCCTCCACAGATGTATTGGGATCCAGTTTATATGTGTGTAAATAATTCATTTTTGGTACAGCTTTAAGTTTACATGTTGCATTGTCCTTAAGAGTTCCTAACGTTGGTTTGTTTTGTTTTTTTTTCTTGTATTCTACTTTTTGAAAAGGTTCTTCTTTTTGCTCCTTATTTATATTAATTAAATCTTCACATATAAGTTTGGATGTAGTTTGCATTAAAGCTAAATTGACATCTTCTTTGCTTATGTTTTTTTTGAGGTTATCTGTCGCTTTTGGTTCTGCAGTTTTCTTTTTGTTATTTTCAACTTTTTTAGTGTTGGTACCACCCTGGTTGGTACCGATTACTTTAGGTGGGTCAGATATCTTCTGTTCTGTGCATACCTTCGCACTCTGTTTAACAGATGGCGTTGGC